ATGCATATCCTATTTACTCAGTTAAATAATAAAATAGGAAGAATTGTTACTCTTGTTCTTTAGGTTTTTGATTTAGACGTTCCCCAGGCAAGAAAATCTGATAAAACCCTTCTTTAAAAGGTATACTGTCCGAATCGAAGTAGAAAAACAGAAAGATTCCACAACTTTTCGGTTGAGCAAATGATAATTTTTGTTATCTGATTCCTTACCTGAGCTTTCGTTATATTTCTTTGCCAGCTTTCTCGGGTTACGTGAGCGTTACTAAAGATCTTAGATTAACACTCGTAATTATAAATCTTTGACACCTCCTCCTCAAAAAAAAATAAATTCTTATCCGCCAATGATAACATTGAGAATTGTGCAACGTCATGACAGCAAATATATGTGATTTTAGCGACTGAGTTGATGTTAATCAAGAAAAGATCAGTTAGCGATTATTTTTGCAATTACTAAGTACTAAACCAGATATTATGAACTTATTTCTTAGTACTAGGCTATTCAAAACTTTGCATTTAAAGTTTACTGGCTGAAATATAGCTATGAGCCAGGTGTTGTCATCTCGATTAGAATCCCATTTTCAAACCATTTCCGAGACACGACAATTTTACGACAAGTAAATGGCCTTAAAACACTGATTTTGATTCAAAAACTCCTCTGAAATACTCGTGACCTTACAGTTTTTAATCGAAGCTTTTTCTCCTTTAAAAATAACGACTGAGCTATGTTGGTACTTGACATAAAATCTCGATAACGTTTGTGATTTTTTTCGACATTTGAGGGAAAGAGATAAAACCGTATTATTGATGTTTTTCACCTCAGTACATTTAATCAGTGGCCTACATGGCCAACGTAATTATCCGATGTATGCTCGTTTTCCGGCTGCCCCTTCCGGTTTACCATGAGATGAAAGAATGGGGCTTCCTAATATAAGACTGCGATCTTTTTACGAGAAATTTGGGCAAACGTAAGTTTGGAATAAACAAAATTCTTCAAAAACATGGTATAACATCGCAATTTCTTGTAGCCTCAACGACACAATAGTTTTTGGTGCATTTTTCAAACATCAGAATTTAAAGCAAATATTCCAATTTTCATTTGAGGGGCGCTTTTGAATATTCATATCCCCTTTTCTTCTACCTTTATAATACATACTTGAATTGGAATCTGATAACCAAAAATAGGTTATAAGTCAACATCATAGTTTACTGCACTCGTTATACTATATTACTTATTGTTTATAACTGGGCTATTTTTACTTTGAAACTATATGAGAAATGTTCAAGAAGAAAAGTTATTTCGTTATTTCGATATTTTTGAAACTTTCCAAATCCATGCAAATTTTGTGCGAGTTTCTCGTTTGCATAGAATTATAATGCGATCTCTTTGTGCATTTGGCTCGATGGGTATAAGACTGAAAAACCTTTCAATACAGCTGTAGTCATTATAGAACATGGATATCCATAGAAAAATTTTTGAGGAAAAATGTCGATTAGCAAACGTATGTCAGCTTCAAGTTATCACCCGTATGATTAAAAGACTCCAAAAAAGATAACAGTAAAAAAAAAAATTGCGTAGGATGTTGTAGCGGGTATAAAGAATGTTATAGCGATCCCGTTATATAACTTTCCTTCATGATAGAATATGCATAATGGCCTTCTTAGACTGACAGCAGTTTGCTTTTTGTATCCGACTTTTCACATTGTAAAAGCTACTGAGGTGAACGTGATCTTGAAGGATACTTTTTTCCGTCTTAGGGCCATTACTTTCTCGAATGATTTAGAAGAAAAATAAACAGTAACTGGCACGCATTTTACACCGTTCTAAATCAAATCATTTATTTATCTTGAGCAGACTGCTGTAGAAAGTGACACGGTAAAACACGTTGTTGAACAGTGCGAATGACAACACAATAAAATATAAAAAAAAAAAAAAAAAAGAAAAAAACTTTCGCACTTTATTCACAATGATGCAAATATGTAAATGAAGCCTCGCAAATCGTGAAGAGCTATTAATTGGTATAAAACGCAAAGACGCCAAAGCTTTCGTCTAAGGGAAAATGCTTTTAGCGGAATAAAGCGGTAAGTGTTTCGATCAAATTTTCATTTGTTTGTCGTATTAGTTCATTTCAAGAGATCTCTTGCTCATATGCATAATCCGAGAACACCTCCTTTGTAAAAATTGAGAGACTGTGCAGTACAAAAGAGCTGAGAAGGAGTAACTTCGAATTTCAATTCGAGACACTTCTTTAGCACTTTTTCCGACTAGATAGCGCTATCGTAAATGAACCGCGCTCTAAGTATCAAAAAAAAGTGTTGAATATTCCACTTACTGTAACAGGTTTCTCTAACTACTGTTCGACGAGGGATTTGCACTTTTCTATCTGAATATAAGCTTTTTAAAGTAGGTTTCAGGTTGCTTAGCAACAGGCCGTGAGTTCCTGAAATGTGTTTCATTCTTAGTGATAATCTTCGATAAGAACTTTTAATATTTACGTTAGCGATGAGCATGTAAATTCTTTCCCAGGTTTTATTATTTTATTTTACTACGCACGCTCTATAAAGCGCTTTTGGTGGATTATTATTATCATTAATTATTACTAATTTTATGATTAATGATGATGATTATTATAAATTATTATTATCATTATTATCATTTCGTTTGCTTTTGAATCTAATAGAAATGATTTCCGCAATTTACTCTAATGAATTACTGAGTTCAAGAAGATATTTTAGGTAGAGTAAGACCAAATAACCCTTTCCACTGTAATTTGTGCATGTGTTAAAATATATGAGGACATAACAAGCAGGCTCACCTAAAATAGAATACGATGGTACGAGAAATGATATGAAAAAAGAGATATTTATGAAATTAATAAGAGTTAAAGGGGCTTGGAGGACTATTAAGGATCTGGGCTGAGTTTTTCAGGGCTGGGTTAAGATAACCCAGGGTTAGTGTAAAATTTGAACTCAGATCTGCAAGAAAATTCAGCATGACTATTTTGTGTTCAATTTGATGCTTGGATGCTCTATAATAATAGAGGAAAATAACCGAAAAAGGCTTTTGAGCAAAGGAATAAAGAAACCTGATTAAAATTTAACCCTGAGTTAGCGCTAATCGACTGAGGAACAACTGGGTCTTGTGTAATTTGTAATTTTATCAACTAATTTAACTTGTCTTAATCAAATACGCATGATTAACTAGTGTTAAGGTCCATTATAGTGAAATACCTGAAGAACAATGAACTATAGATTCCGAACAGATATCATTGCGGAGAAAAGTTTCTCAAATTCATTATAATGCTAAACCTTTCCTCGATTTGGAATGATGTGACTGAATTAGTTATTAAAAAGTGGCTTTCATTGCAAGGGGTCTCCCTAGCTTGTTAAGTTGTTTTGAAATTGCAAAAAACGTTATCTTTAGGTCTTCAACTGATTTGGAGATAAAAATTTATTGAAAATAAAATCAGAATTCAAAGCACCTTTTTTGATTAAGGTTTAGTCTTGGACAGCCTTGAAAACTTTTGTTTTGGACGCAATTTCTGATCCTATATCTTTGCCAAAGTTGCAAGACCAGATTTCTAATACTGTTATGTAATAAAAAAGATAAACAAAATCTTTATCAACTTTTTCCTTTTAAAAATATCTTTAAGAATTATTTTCACATGTTTTAATCAGCTGACAAATTAAACAAGTCATGTTCGTTTTTTGTTGGTCGATGTAAAGAATTAGTAGGGTTTGAATTTGTCGAGTCCCACGTCCATTTAATGCTTCATGATAATTTGAAGAATGACAAAAGATTCGTTCTTCATGTTTTACCGAATTTCAAAGATACCTATAAGGTAATTAAATTTTTCTTCATGTTTATTCTGACATATTAAGGACTATTTCTCGCTAAAATGCTTCAAATCAACTCTCTATGTCTTTTCAGCTCATCAAATGATTGTTTGCAAAAAAATGATCAATTTTTTACGAGCCAAGTCTACATGAATTCACAAAAAGGTTTTTGTTTTTAACGTGATGACTGAAATAATAATTTTATTCATTTGCATGTAAAAAAATCATTATTATGTCGAAGTTCTTCAAAGATGTTGCGAACAATAAACTGAAAATTGCCGGCGCAAAAAAAAAAGGATCTTTCCGGCGATAGGAAGCACGACGCGCGTTCATTTGTATACAATTGTACGAAGGTGAAATGCACGTAATAGTCTGGACAAGACTTACAGTTTGTTAATTAAAAGGAAAGGAAAATGAATAACACTGAACAGACTTTGGTCCTCATTATCAAACATCAAGGAAAATAAGAAAAAACCGCTGATTATTTCTTTAAACAGTTGATTGAAAGACAGACGGGCAGTGTTCAAACTTTCTGTGGCTGAAAATAGAAACTGACCGCTTTGTACACGCCGAATTTTTTTGAATGAAGGACACCACAGCGAGATTTTGTCCTGACGATTTTAATAATTACCTACGACTATCGTTGTCTCTCTTTTAGATCTCGAGAGATTTTACTTTATTTATATTACGAATGGTATTAAAAAGCATCTAAAAAGGATCCAAGCTAAACTCAAGTTTGGAAATATGGATTCCGCCAACGAGCTGGTTTTATTCACAGCTTATTAACGAGGCCGGACGAAAGTACAAAAATTTGAATGACTGGAACCTATTAGCAACTATGGCATTGAATAGTAAAAGAAAGCACTTTGTCCAAACCAATACAATGACGAGGTTATTTTGCAGGTGTATGAATTAATTTTAATTTGTTTCGGCAAAAGAAAATAGTCTACCATACGGACGATGTATCTTGAGAAGCAACACATGTATGAGAAGTTCTGGTATTAAGGACATCGATCAATTGTAATAGACTGCGTTTAACTTTTGCAGAATCATGCAGGAAAATAAATCGACGATCAGCAAAACCTTGACAACAATGGTACCGACAAGCAAACCTGCGTGCGTGAAACTTCCACAGTTCTAAAGCGTTTTAAAAATTCAAGTTTGGTAATGGAGGAAACAACCAACGCGACGAACGAAACCATACACGTCTGTACAACAACACCGTTGCCTATCACATCGATTTTAATCTGCGCGAGTCTTGTGGTTTTAGCCCTGTTTATTTTAACAGCAAACTTCACAGTCCTGGTGTTGGTGAAGCGAAGGATTCCACTCCGAACACAATCAAACATTTGTTTATGCAGCCTGGCCGCGAGCGATTTTCTGGCCGGCCTCGTCGCGTTGCCTCTAACTGTTGCCTGCTCGTTTTTAAACTGTGTTATGCCACAGCTTTGTTTGGCCATGGATCTATGTCAAAGATTTTTGGCGATATCGACAATTATTCACCTCCTGGTCATCACAACGGAACGGTATATCACGATTGTTTACCCTATGGTTTACTCTAGAATTCTGACAAAATCTCGTATTTTGACCGTTCTGGCATATACATGGGTTATCTCCCTGTTCACTTCGCTCATCCAACTTTCGTGGTATAGCCCGGAATGGAAGGAAATATCAACAATCTGGAACAATGATTTTATCTACGATATATTTTGTGTGACTGTCATAGTGTTACTTCCACTTTTATTCATGACATACGCCCACGTCCACATTTTGCTCGTTGCAAGGCAACAGACAAATGCAATAAAGCGACAAACAAATCACTTGTGCACCACAGCCAATCTCAAGACAGCGAGAAAAAACGCTCAGTTGGTCTATGCTGCTATGCTCGGTGTGTTCATCGCAGGATGGGTTCCATATTTTCTTCTGGCAATGGAAGCCGATTCTAACTACACCTTGTTTGTACTGCCTTCGTGGTTTCGCCAGATTTCGTTATTTTTCAAGTTTTTCACTGGTTTATTCAATCCCCTTCTTTATACATTTTTCAAAAGTGACTTCAAAAAAGAGGCATCATTCTTGTATCGTAGGTTGAAGAATTTTTGCTGCATGTATTTCTGTTGCTGTTGTATAGATCTAGAGATTTCACACCTTAATCCGATTGCTTCTTCACACCAAGAGGAACATTTGATAGCTAATCAGCAGGAATTATTAGTAATCACTCAGTCAGAGACTGCGTTGTAACAAGATTTACAAAATAACTTTAAAACTACGATTGTTAAAAAAACCTATCATTTATTTCACTGGTATACCCATAGAAAAATCGAAACATTTTAAGGTAATTTTTAAAAGCAATATTAATAGACAAAACTTTCTATCAGTTTACCGGCGTTAGTAAGGATGACATGAGATGACTCGGCTATGTAGTCACGAGAAAACACAGTAATGTTGTTCTTTTAAACTTACAAGAGGCTTCTTTAGCCTTTTATTTCTAATTACAAAATATGTCAGAGAAGCGTGTTCGTACTTTAAGTATATATATATGAAGAGGTATATTTCACGTCTGTAGTGGTTTATGAAGGAAATGTTTGGACCGGGGCATAGCATCTTTCAAAAATACATGGTCAAGCACCTCTCCCTTACAGAGAGAAAGCATAGAGGTTTTATCAACGTGCTATGGTTTGTTTTCGTTTGGTTTTACACCTTTGAGTTTATTTAAATGAAATTTTATCATGAAATTTAATTAATTTAAAATGTTCGGATTTTTCAGGGCTTGTGGTAAACTTGAGACAATACGCGAGAGATTCTCTTTAAGGAAGCTTTCGGCAACCTGCAAAGTCTGGAATTTTTGTGGGAATCCTATCTTGCAGCCACCTCCTAAAGAAAAATAAATAATGGAAGATTTTAATCAGGGGACTTCCATAAGAAATCATTTTGAAAATGAAGTTAGACTAACAAAGTGAAATGACGATTGTAATCAATTTTATACCTTGAGTACATTCTCTCACTTTTCATGGAAAGATCCTAGAACAAATGAAAAGAAAGAACAAACTTTACGATAAAGGAGAAATTAACAAAGAAAGTTCATAGGCTGGTATATGATCATTATTTGAGATGACAATCAAAATACACAATTAGTATGATACCTTGGAGACCAAAACACCACGAGAAGCATTCAAAAACCTAATACTGAGGTCATTTATCAGTCGGCATCTTCTCCTACTATTCTACGGATTTGACGGAGAGAATTTGGTTAACTTTCAAATTCCTCTTGAAGGCGATCATTTCTTTGAATTGTTATGACTTTTTATGACTTTTTTTACGATTCAGGTGTGATATTGTATTGAGAAATTTGTTGCTAGTCATGCTTAAGGGTTAGGCGACAGATCTGAACCTGTTTGGTCGATGACGGATGAATACAAATCTGGGTCAGCTGCGCACAAAATTATTATACGTTACTATGGAGGGTGTGGATAGAACAGATATTGCTTCGCACACCTCGATCAGTTCTGATGAGCTACCGACTCGGACATAATTACCGTTGAACTACCACACTTGTTTACTGGAAAGTTACGATTTTAAAGGTTTTTAAATACACAGACGTAAGATTTTCCTGAAGTAACCAACACGTGCTTTCTGGTTCTGGTAGGCTGTCGATAGTTATGGTTGAATGACATCGTTTGTATACTGGACAAGTTACCAATTTAAAGGTTATGAAATAAACAGATGTAAATTTTTGTTGAACGATTAAATATCCCCTTGGTTGATTTGAAAGCGGCGTCTTAACTACATTAAAACATAAATTACGTTCCTCACCCGTCTATGTATTTAGTAGCGAAAGTTCCTGGATAATCAAGGATTTAACAACAACCACCACAACAAAATTGATTTACCTCCCGAAAAATAGCGAAGCTTATCTGTCTGGAGACAGAAACCTTGGTACACGTGGATAGGAATCAATGGGGCTTGGACAACAATTTGCGTATGGATGATAGGCGTATGAAGGGAATGTCTCTTGCGTTACCTCAAGGATTATAAGCATTAGCCTATTAAAACTTACGTCGTTGTCCCCAAGATCCTCCGCGCTCCTTTCCCAAAAATTCCTCACTCCGATAAACTTTCTATCACCACACACGCATGCGCTCTTTACGCTAACGACCTCCTTGAGAGTCACGTGCGGAACACGCGGCCCGCATGCGCTTCTTGTTTGATAAGGTGTTTTTTTCGGTGTGAGATCCTTGCTAATGTTTAAAGAGTATCTGTGATGTGATATACTCGGTTCTGTGGTAAATTGTTCAAGCTTGCTCCCAGTGAGTCCACTTTCGTCTTTTGGCGGACACGTTCGAAGCTTTTGTTGCGGTTTTGCCACTCCACACACAAAGGTTGGATTCGGAGGAAGAAGAACAGTCTTTTGACTAACCGCAGATTGATTTCCTGAAAGAAAATAAAGGGGTCTGGTTCAAAAACAAGATTAAAACAGGTTACTCCTTTTTTTTTATTTGTCACTTAACCCTTTATACCCTAATGTCACTGTGCATGTTTTCCACTGACACTTTTCTCTATACATTTCCTAAGATGCAAAGGAGGAAAAATTGTTCAACAGTCAAGAGCTTCCTTAGTTGATGATCATTTCTGTATTCCTTTCCCTCAATCTACACTGGACCCTCACAACCTTTGAGCCGTGTAGTTGGTTATGATTCTATAATCATTTCTAAGCCATGCTGGATGCGTGCGATTGCCAAGTTCAGAACGTTTAGCCCTGACATTTCATTCCTTCTTGAGGTTTTCCTGCTGAATTAGCCATAAAGGTCATGATATTAAGGAAAATGATCACCAAATAGAGAAACTCTTTAGTGTTCATTACATTCTCCTTGTCAGGACTGTTGGAAATGTATGATGAACAGTATGAAATATTTATACTGATGTTGAGGTGTAAAAAGTTGGCACATTAAAATGTTTCAGGGAGATAGGCAACCATGGTGCGTGGTTATGCTCAATGTTCTCAACAAGGAGTTGTTCGACACAGAATATGGCAGAAAAGACTGATCCCTCGGATATCTAATAAGAATGATAATACTAAGAATACCTGAGTACGATGCGATACTTTGTTTCCATTCAGTCCTTCCATATCCAGCTTTTGTTGTCCGCTCTGTTTCAATGACGTCACTAACAGTTAGAGAGTGAGACACACGAATAGAGGGAAGAAACCTAAAAGAATGAGATTAATGCAGATGAAAACAGAAAAAAAGCTTTACTAAGGTCAATAATTATCCCTAGATTGTAAAGGAAATCATTTGTCAGAAGACTACAGGAAATGAGGCTGAGAAACTTTGAAAAGAAGCCGAAAAATGATGGGCGTGGCTGAGGGGTACTATTTTGTCATGTAACGAAGAAGGTAGCGCCATTTTCACTGGCTCTTGAAATGATTAGACGCCTAAAGGGTACCGCTTGTGTAAAACCATATAAACATACGGTCACCTGGATGGAAGATCCTCACAGAAGTTCATCAGGCCTAGGTTAGCTCAGTTGATTAAAAAGTTTATGCCAAGTAAACGCCGATCTTAAACTTACCGATCAAATAGTGCTTGAAAGTGGGTCCTAAGATCTTTTATTCTTATGAACAGCATTGCATCTGGATTTATTTCACAGGCCTTACCAATATTGAAAAAAAATTAGCCACCTAATAATAATTCCACGAGTGCGCGTTGGATATATGTAAGATGATAGATAGTCCACGGAGACTGTAGGGCCGAGTTCACAATAATCATATCCAACAAGCGCTGGTGGAATAATTGTTTTATCAAAAACGTTTTAAAATATAGATGAATCTTCGCAACTTGATTTTTTTAAGAACAAATAGAATATGAAAATATACAAAATGACTTTCAGTTTGACTCGTCTTCATGCGCGCACATGGTATAATGGCTCATAACCCATATTGGCTAAGCCAATGAGAACTCTTGAATTGTATTATCCAATGATCCGGTTTTTAACATTTCGTCTTAGTCCAAGTGCACGAGATATGTTCAGTGTATGCTACAAGAACGGGCCGGGAGCTTTCTTTAAGAAAGCTAACACTGGAACCCCTTGGAGGCACCACCCCACAATTTTTATGTTTGGACAGAGAAATAACCAGAACACGTTAAAAGCTAGACTGGATAATGCGTAAATTTTCCCCATAAAACCAGTCCTACCAGCTTTTACACCATTCTCTCTTCTTTCTTTGCAAAGTGAGTTGGAGCGGGCAAAATAAAAAGCAACAACAACACAAAAATAACAACGACACCAAAAATTGAACCAAAAGTGGTTTTAGCTTACCTTCGCAAGGTCAGGTTCGAGTTTTCTAATTCTTGTAACATTAGCTTCATTTTTTTCTTTCTGTTAATTGATGAAAGAGAATTTAGAGAATAAAATTTTATAATACCACAGAGTGGATACGGCAAGATATAAATACTCAGAGGTTTAAGCATCCCCTGATCATGTCTGTCAGATATGGCATGTAAATTTTTAGTCTCACCCATTTCAGGCAGCTTACAGGTCACTGTAAAGGGACTAGTCCCTTATTTTATTATCCCCCAGGCCTGATCTCCCCCCCCCTCCTTAAGGCCCTGTGGTATTGTAATGATCTCCCCCTTATTGTAGTTAATTTGTAGGCCTCCATTTACACTCTGTTAGCGACGATTGATCCCCCTTTTGTTACCCCTGAAACCCATACGATCCTCCAAAATCCTCCCTCTCCTTTCCCCCCCCTTCCCCCTCCCCACTCCTCACTCCCCAAAAAAGCAGACTTTTATACCGAATTCTCTCTCAGCCTTTAAATGGGACTATCAGACTGAAAATGCGGTGTTAATTTACATCATATGATTATTTGGAAGAAATACCTTTAGTTTCTTGAAGAGCCCTCTGAGAAGCCACGCGCAGACTTGCGTGGGAGCAAGTCGGAGAGCAAAACTTACATCTGATAAGGCCTGTAATGTAGGGCACATTAAATTAAGCGATTATGAGAAAGAGCGAAATTCACTTGTAGATCGTTAGAAGAATGAAGAAGCTTCTCGAAGGAGAATTTGAAGGGGTGAGGTGGGTCTAATGGTCTCATAAAAATCCCCCTTTCAAGACAAAGAGTGACTTTTATATGAAGTCACACTTTGCTGATTCCGGTTCTAAAGAAAGTACAAAACCTTACCCTGTGGTAGTCATGAGTGCATAACTGAGCCTCTTTTTAGATTACAGACAAAAAGGATTATGCCAGAGGGACTACCACTAAGGTTTTCTCAGGAACTAGTCTCATCTTTGAATTAACAAAAAACAAGTGCGGTGTTATTCGATTTATGACTTGAAAGGAACATACATAATTTTTTAGGGATCACTCCATATTGAATATAGCGATGCGTTGGTATAAAATTGTGAGCTGAACATGTAATAGAAAACTTATTGATTAGCCTTGTTATCCGTTGAACTTGAAAGTTTAGCGGTGTTGCATTAGATTGAATTAACTGATATATTACCTTTTCCTCTCGATTTAGAAGGAAATTAACCACCGACCTGACGCAAAATAAACCCTTTGCAAAAGAAATTGAGAGAATGTTACTAAAAACTCTTGTCAGCACTACATTTTCACCCAGCTTCAAGACTGCTAAATTATTGTAGCAGGACAATTATCCATAAGAAGGTTTTGAAACAGAAATCTGAATACCATGCCTTCTTCCCAACAATGAATGTCCATAACTGAGAGAAACAATTTTAAAATTTTTTTTTATCTTTGATAAATGAGGTCTTTGAAATGTGATGAAGTGTTGACTTACCGGATTTCTAAAGTCCAGTAAAATCGCCCTATCTATGTTGCTTAGAGCCTCGTGGAGATCTCCTGGTCAAAGAAAGAGTCAAGCTGTGTAAAGGTTCACATGAAGACGTGGAATGACAGAATAAGTATTACACCACTCTGTGTTGTCACTCTAAATGAGCTATTCATTCAACTCAGTGCAAAGGAAGCTCTGTACGTGTTTTCATAAGGAAGCTCGCCAATGAAATTTACTAACCATTGCTTGCGTAAAATTAAATATTTTCAACATGAAAGGCAAAAGAACTTTGTCGTGATTTGAGAAAGGTGAAAAATGATGCCAAAATTATTCATGATCGTCATTTGCAATACGTTATAATCTTCCCCATCTATGGCCATTGTCCATGGCTTATCATTGCGTTTTTGTCAGTTTGTTATTTTTCTTTGTTACCTAGCTAATATTTTTATTCTTTCTCCCAAAATGGAAGCAGTTGTATACGTCGCAAATTCGTACATAGCTTTGTTGGTTATTAATCAAACATATTGTACAAGTCCAACTCTTCTCAGACTGGCAAGCACAAGTATCGAAATGCCTAGCGACTAGTAGCTTAGCTAAAATAGTGGTGGTGACTTTTAACTAGAGAGGAAACTTTAGACATCCTGTCTCTTGCTTTTAAACAGTATAAAGTTACCTGAGTGAATGTAACAAAAGCATATTCTCGCTAGGGTTGGGACGTGCAAGTGAAGAACCCTTCCCGTGATGCAACCTGCCTGACACTCATCCTGAAACGAAAAAAAACAATGATTATGCCGTTATCTCTTGCTGCTGTTAACCAAGAAATATATCAAGCAAAAAACCGAGTGACACTTCATAGAATTCATACACCACACACTTTACCTTTTTCCAGCTGACCACCTCCATTGCTCGCACAAACTGCCGTATTGCCTTCTGGTAGTTTAGAAGGTTTTGCAGTGCAACTGCACAGTGGAAATGACACTCAAACAACTGCGAAGTGAATGAAAGAAACTGCACTCGGTATGATAGCTTTTCTTTACTTTTAGCGGCTACGTAACGCCGTAATAACTTTGCAATTTCGTTTCGTCCAGTACAACTTACCAGCAGCCGTAGTTTCTCTTTGTTCCAGTGTTTCCTCCATTTCATCTTGTAGAGTAGGTGTAACACTTCCATGTAGTTGGCTTCAGCCTGGCAATATTTCAAGACAAATTTTAGGAATATATTTCATGATATTCGCTCCAGGTAAAGATAATAACAATTTTAAGTTTTGCGATACTTCTTAACGATATGATTTACCCCATCATACTTCTTGTTACATCTCTCTCAGTTAATACGAACGCCATGATTGTTAATTAAAAGGGTTGTATTTCACTGTGCGGCCCGCTAACTTAAAAAATTTAGTTTGAATTGAAATCACCCCCTTCAATTTTAACCCAGAGATGTAATAAATAGTCCCGATTTCTTTTTCCCTGAAGTACAGGACCTCATTTTCCCCGCTAGGATTTATGGTCCAAACACGAAGTGTGCTGCCCATAAATCCAAGCGGGAAAATGGGGTTCGGGAACTCACAGTAGAGACCTCGTTAGTAAGTCAACAGAAAAAGGTAATTTTGCCCCCTTCCCCACTCCCCCTCGGAATGTTACATAACAATATGGCGCTCTTCGATTGTATGTGTGATTGTGTTATTGTTTATCTTACGATTAAGTCACTCCCTATCTATATATGTACAAGTTGATTCGTCACCCTAACAACCGATAAAACTTCATTATTTGAAAGTTCCCGTTAACATTAAGACATGGAGTTTTGTTGTCAGTTTTTCGGCCGCTTTTGCAATAATATTTGCATTTGAGCCGGTCTCACACATTTTTCAGGCTAATTTAATTCTTAATCGTATTACCTTATGCATGTATCAACGGATTAATTCATTTAGTTAGAAGAAGAAAAAAAAATTAGATACATTTTATTTCCTCACGCGTTTCTTATGAGCGTGCTTCTTAAACAATGGTAGTCTCTTTATGCTAAACTACTTTTACTAATTATGATAGAAGCTCTCTCTTCTGCCAAGAAGTGTTTAGATACAAACATTGCATTGACATTTCCAAGTTCTGTTTAAATTTATATTTGGAAGTCGCACCGAAGTCGAGTTTAGTAAATTTGAATAATAAAAGCTTAAATATAATTTTACATTAGTTACCGACATCGTTTTCATTTTGCAAAATTATAAACATTGAAAGAATAATTATGAAAATCTTGAAGAGCCAAATAATTTCCTTTGCTGAAAGGAAAACGCTCGGTTACCCATTTCAAGAAGAAAAAACCGTCGGTAATTTGACATATTCTAAATTGTAATTCGTAAGAAAAGCATTATATTCAGCACAGACTTTATGGTAAATTTTTAATGATAAGAACCAACAGAAAGGCTAACTGATGAACACTGCGTAACCAATGGTAACAAGCTCGATGTTAGTGCTTTAATATTGCAATAAATGACCAGATATGTTGTAGATATTTCCGATACGAGATTGTTCAATGTTATAACAGTGAAACAAAATACCTTTTTCCATGATTTCTGCCTTTCGAATGTCACGGCCGAAAGGAAAGCTCTTTGAGCCTCCATGTTCGTTGAAATAACTGTCATCGAACTCTCTTCACTCAGACGTATGTTTCGCAGATAATTGGCTGCTTCAGATAACAGCTCATTAAGGCAGCTATTCGTTATATCTTCGTTGGCACAAACACACATTTAACGCCATTAAAATTTAAATATGCGACAGTGGATCCTAACGAAGCTGGTAAACAGATTATGGAGAATATTTCGTTCGTCGAATCTTGAAAAAACCGGCTTCGTGTTTAATTTCCGCGTACTAAGCAGCTGATTCCACATAGGGAATGTTTTATTTATTAAGAATCAGTATGCAACTTAATTTGCATATGGGGAACATACGAAATGTTTTGCATTTCTGAAATCTAATTCATAAGGATCCACGTATTCCCGAAGGGTCTTTCGCGAGGAAAAGATCCTCATCAGACAAACTTAAAATATTCAAACCACATTTTTATATATTATCGTTAACTATAAACAAATTTTTAACGTTAGTTATCTAAGCTTCCATTTTTCTGGTGTTACTGTGCATGTGGTATTTTTCGCCTGCATGGCTTTTCGGCCTGGAGCACTCAGGTTTAACAGTAAAAGAATATTTTAGATCAGCGAGGTCGATCAGATACAAGTTTATTGGCGGAAAACTTATTGAATTTATTCGGATAGAGGCAGAATGGGCGGTAAAGAAGAGGATTTAGTAATACCATCACTGAAAATGGTTTTTAATATATTTTATTTCCCATTTATTATAGAAGTTGGTTAGACATGGAATTGAATAATTCTTGCCTAGGAGCTGGCCAACTAAAGTGCTTTCTCGGCACAATATGTTGTAAATAATAATCAGTTCTATACTAAGAATTGTTGCTCTCTGAGATGATGGTATTATTTTACAAGAGACTCTGATAAGTAATCAAGCAAAATACTTCACGAAATTGGTTTTTTTTAAAACCATCCTTTGTAAGTTACATTGATACAGGTTAATTGATATCTCTACTCTTGTTGAAATACTACTGAAAGAGGTTTCATTTGTCATATTTAATTAACAATTGGTTGTTTAAGTTGGTTAGACTACAATGAAATGCTTATTGCCGAGTTACGGGCAAAATAGGTGGATTCCTGACACCATATTGGACATATTTAGTTGCAATGATATCTTTGGGCACAAATGTCTACAAAAAATGATAAACATCGAAAGAAAAGACCATTTAGTTCGATACTAAGATTTGTTTCTCTCTGAGACGATGGTATTTTTACTTTCAAATTTAATTTGGAGACCATCCTTTGTAAGCAACATTGTTGCAAGTTATTGATCTCTACTCCTGTTGAAATATTTTATCATGCCTTGTATTTTTATGTATATATTTCTAAGTTACTTCTCAACTGTAAAATCAGTTTTTAAGTATAGTACAGGAATAGTGTTTCACAAAGTCTATAAAATACAGTGACATTAATGCATAAGTTCTCCGTTTTAGCACAGCAGCTTATATAAGAAGCTAAATTACATTTGATTGGTTCTTACACGTGATCTATTGAAGAACAGACGAATCGATGACGTCACGACTAACAACACTTTGCTTTGTTATCAGATAAAAAAAAAAGTTTCCAAGTTGCCGGAATGTGCATGTACAGTAATAGATCGCAGAAGACGTCAAAGTGTGGTAAGAACATCAGTGACACACCGGGCAGTGCCTCGTGTGCCACCATTTTTGTTCTTCAGTACCACATTTTGACGTCATCTCTTATCTGTCACTGAAAAGAAATACTGCAACGTGGTTGCTCTGTACTCCATTATTACAGGGAAAGATAAAATATAGCAATCAGAGTAACGGTGCGTAAAATCCACTCTGACCGGTTAAAAGTCAGCCTCGACCAGGCATACCCTCCTTGGTCAAAGAGATGGATGGAATTATAGAAAGTTTAGAAAAAAAAGAACAATAATGATGTAGATTTGTTAAGACACGACTATTTGCCAGCCATATGTGCTCATAATCGGGCAGGTACAGGATTGACTTTCTCGTGTCTAGAAACTCAATGATGAACTACGTGACTACATTTCTTTTGATAAAACATGCTCACTTGAATGAAATTCTATAGGCTAATTGTTCTGTAAGCGTCTAAAAAGAATTTCTATAATATATATAAATCCACTCTGGGAAGCTGGGCCGGCGAATCGAAAAGCAACTCTATCTATAACCAGCTCCCTCTTATCCTGAAACTCACAATCTAGTCGTTGTCCTTTTATTGAAGCTTCAAGGATGCAGGGTACATCGGGATTCAGCAAGTGGTATTGCTCAAAAAAAATGTAAAATCCGGGATGGTTCCCACTCACCCCTCTATCTTCGCTTTGGAAACGACCCTCCGAGACAACTTTACCGTTGAGTTCAAGTTTTACTGTATATTTCTTTCCTGGCTCCCCAGTGATAGCAACTCCTCCCAGTAAAATTGGAAAATCGACAGAAAAAGAGATGGACTCAGTAAACTCTTCAGAGGCAAGAGGCAAACTAGGTGGCCAACCAAAGATATCCGAAGTTCTATTGCAACACCGAAGATTTCTACTGTTTAAACACCTTGGGATGCAAGAGAACTTCCCAGGATTCCGATTTAAGCTGAAGTACAGGAAGATTTCAATAACCTCGGTTTTTTTGAGTATTTTGGTTTCAGCGACATGTTCAGCAAATTCGCTCTGAGACATTAGCGGGAAACGTATCAGTTTCACAAGCTCTTCTCCGATAATTGTCCTTTTTTCCTTTCCAGTGGGTGTTTTTCCTCGTTTTTCGCAGATAGTCTCTGCCCAGCGATTTACAGCTTGAAAAACTTTCACCTCCTTGATATCAAGAGTATCTCTTTTTAATATGGAAACCAGAAGACTGTTGTCGTCTTGGATTGCATCTGAGGCAGACTCTAGGACCTTCTCTGTACGTGTATCAATAACTTTCCAGCAAACACTTTTCAAATGGACCTCCTCCATTTTTTCTATAAGCGGCAGTAAATCCAAGACATTTTCAGCGTTGATATTTTTCTCTAAGAAACTTCTACACCGGTCTGCTAGCGACGGAATCATGTACTTTTTGGCCAAATAGAGCACTTGGATAACACAATCTCCTGTCAATTTGACCTCATCGTAATAGATGAAACGTAAGAACTCATGAAATCCCTCTAGATCGCAGTCTGGGAGATCGATATATTCAGAAGGTTCTTTAAGGTCACCGTAGAACATCTTATAGAAAACAGGGCTACTGACAGCCAGGATAAATTTGTGACAAGGGATGTTAACTTTACGAGAAGAACTTCCTTGCCCATCTGCGACAGTGAAGTATACATCGGCCATGAGCGGGTTTCCGTACATGTGCTTGATTCGCTCGCTGACTGTGTTCTTAGTGAGCTGCCATTCACACACATCGTTACTAGAGCTTGCTGTAGCCATTTTCAAATGGATGTGGAGGGCGAAAACAGTCTGTGGTTCGAATCGAAAGCAATTTTCGAGAGGATCGCAAAAGCGGAAGTGAATAACATGAGCGAGCCTGGAACGAGTAGAAAAAAATGTCAGCGGATTAGATCCTATAAGAATATGTTCTTCATATACAACTAGAATTCACTACGCATCTTAACTGAGTCTGTGTCGAAATCGTCCACTACTCAGACGATGGAAAAATCGTTAGATTCGCATTTAGATGACATGTAAGCCAGTTGTTTTCTTTCTTTACCACATAGTATCTTATTTCTATTACCAATATGTGTATTTATCCGGTTTGCTATTCTTCTAGAATGTCTGAACATGGCGTCATTGGAGTATTATGTAGCGATCAGCAAGGACTGGCTTTGTCAGGTTCGTGAAGTTTATGTGAACTTTACATTTCCCTTTAAAGCTATTTTGCACCCATTTATTTTCTTGCCATCCTTAGCTTCAGCGTACAACGCCAATATAATGTGTTTTTTTATTATATGATGGTAATTAGTAATTAGTCACTTGTAAATCACATGACATTTATTTTGATAAGCTTTTTGTCATAATGTTTTCTGAACATATATAATGCACTGAGTGTAATAAACATAAATTCTCAACTCGTTTACATTCCGAGTTGGTTGTTTTGGTGAGGTTGGGAAATAAACTTTTTCCTGTCAAGCAAGTTAAAAAAATACTCTGTGCAGTACAAGAATACTCAGCATTAAATCGAATCAATAACTAAAAATTGTTTATAAAGAAAAGCTTTACATTGCCAAAGAAGTGAGGTACAGTGTCAGTTCATCAGTTTATATAATGTTCCTATTCTCTATTGTAAATCTACATGTTTGTTTATTCTTGTTGGGATTTTGTTAGTGTTTTAACCCTTTAACTTCCAGATCAAACGTTTAATTCTCCTTACTGTCAACCATACAATTTTTATAATGTTAGTTCAGATAATTTAGTATTGGATCAACTAATTATCCCCAAATTGATATTCTTCTTTATTCTCATCAGTTACCTGGTTGTTATTGTATTGATATTGTAAGGAGAAATTCTGTCTCGGTTACTCATGGGAATTAAAGGGTTAAGCTGAACTGTCTCAACTGACTTTTGCTGCACCTATTTCCTCAGAGCTATGGAGGTTATTTTGTTTTTTTCTATCTTTTTTTTCATAAATCCCTTCCATTTCATTATACAGTTGAATCTTGATAACTTAAACCCTTATTAACTTGAACTAAAATAAATTTCCCCCAGATTTCTGTCATACATTAACTGAAATTTTACCCTTGCTAATGCAAGCCCTTGATAACTCAAACCTTCTACAGACTGAAAGCAATTTTTGTTTCCCTCCAGGTCACTCTCTATATGTTTTTCAAAACATGAAAAATCAAAACAGACAGTGTACTGCAGTCCAAAATGTTGTGATTTATGCAGAAATTTAATGTTCCATTTTCACTCAACTCCTTTATAATTTCATTTGGCCAAAATGTAGACTGTATGAATAGAAACACAGTTTTCCCTTATTTTCAGTGCTTTGTTTTCTACTCCCAATCTCTTGATTTCCTGATAACTCTAACTCATTTCAATTTATTTTGAAGTTTTGAGTTATTGAGATTTGACTGTAGTTTATGAAGTATAAGTTAAGTGCACACAATGAAGAAAAGATTGTGCTAGGTTTTTTAAAGCATTGGAAGACTATTGTTAGCAACACTTCCCTCACCCATTTCCCCTCTTCCCCCCCCCCCCCCCCCCCCATTATTTTATCAGGTGTCTCTGATAGTCTGCTGTTACCTACAGTAGTTTATACTCCTGGGTGGAGAGGGGTACAAGGTTTCCTCAAGATTGCAACACATATGACCCAACCAAGCAAGAATTAATCCTCTAGATCTCTTACTGTGCTTGATTTCACAGCAGTTACATTGTACCTTTCATTTTCTTTGCTCTACAGACAGTTGTGTAGGTTATAACATTATTTCAAGTGCAACAAAATTGCACAAGCCCATAGGGAAAGTGCAATTTGTAGTCTTTTAAAAATTTTCAAGCGCTTATTTTGCACCTAGTAATATAAATGAAAAGAGTATGTATGTCTTATTTACTGAAAACAAGTGCATTTTTCATGTCACAGAAGTGCAAAGTTGTTACAAAAGTGTAAATTACAAATAGCATGTGTGCACTGACAAAATTATGTCCATTTTGACTCTCTGTGATGGGTTTTTATGTAAATTGATATCAAGTAATGGGGTGTAAATAAGCATGAGTTAATGTTTTAAAGACAACGAAATTGCACTCGCCCTATGGGCTTGTGAAATTCTGTTGCTTTGAAAAGTTACTCTTGCTTCTTAATTAACAGTGAACTGCCCTGAAAATCATGTTATTACCTAGTGCAATCATTAAATTAGATATCATGTTATTACTTCATAATAATTTACATGAATCACAAAGCATCACAGATAGTTTAGAGCCTATTTGTAATTTGCACCTGTGTTACAACTTTGCAACTTTTCATTTCATGGAAATTGCACTTATTTTCAGCCAATGAGAAGCCTGTAATTTTTTCTAGTTTATTTTTACCAGATAAATAGGGAACTTACAGAAAGTGCAATTTGTTTGACCAGCATACATATACAAACAATATTCTTAATTGTTCACTCTTTTTTATGGCCATGTTGTATATTGAATTTGTGTATTTTGCATCTAATTTTCTTTCCTTATTCTATGCACTCTGCAAATAGCTAAAGGTACAGCAAATCCCATGTATGCAGGACTGATTTCCTCTTTGGCAGAGAACGCAAAGCAAATTTACCCAGACAGAGTGCCTGTCATTTGCTTGGAGTCAGATGCATGGTAAGTAACTTTTTGAACATAGGTCAAGGATGCAAGAGTTAAACATCAGTGATCAAATAATATTTTAGTGAGGCTGAAAAATGCATGAGGGTCTCACAGTTAACCCTTTCACTCCCAAGATCTCTGGAGTAATTCTCCTTACTGTCTACTGTACAATTCTCATGATGTGATTATGGAGAATTTGGTATTGGATCTTGAAACTAATAATACCCATATTGTGCTTTTTTTTAATTCTCATCACCTGTATGATTGTATTGATATTGTAAGGATACATGTAAATGATGTCATGGTCATGATGAGCAAATCTTTTGTGACATTTCCACTGCTTGTGCTAGGCATTAATCCTATTTTATTGCAGTAATAATAATAGTAATAATAATAATAATAATAATAGTAATGATAAAATTAAAAAGTTAATTGGGGACACCAATTTAATTGACAGTAAAACTTATTAAAAAAGTAATTGAGACAATTTCATCCACTGTACATTGATTATTCTCATCTAAGAGTTAAAATATGAAATCTTCATGTACAATCAAAAACCTGTAATCTATTGTTTGAATTGTCTTTTTATGAAATTACCTCTTCCAGCCAAAAGTAAAAACAATTATTAACCATGAACACATAGTGTGGTCTGCCTGTGGTTATCTTTGAACAAAATAATTCTCAAAATAGTTTTGATAACAAAAGAGTTTATGGAGACTAGTCAGGGAAATTGATAACTTGACTGTAAGACCCTTTGGAACAATGGGGGTTGAACTAAAACTCCTCTTAATGTTATTATTTTCTTATTATTTCTTCTTTCAGTAATCTGCTTGTGAGATCAGAAGGAAATGTCACAGTTGCCATCCATAAAGTTCCCTCATAACATACACAACAGTTGGAAACATGAAATTATTATAGCCCCAATTTTTGTTTGTAAATGAACTTTGAATTTCCTATCAATAAAAGAAAATAAAGAATATCTCTGAGTGAAATTAAAAACAAATTTGATGTGTTCCATTAGGGAGAATGTAGGCTGGGTGAGGCTGTATGTTTGTAAACTATTCCTAATGAGCAGCAAGGTATTGATGAAAAGGGAATATCCCCCTGAATTGTGGACAAGAAGTCTGCACCAGGAGGTCTGAAAAGATTAAGCATCTTTATGGCATTTCTGTAACCATTAAATGTTCAGAAGTGATGAACCTGTAACTTCTCCTTCCGATTCCCATATATTATCTTACAAACTGGTAGGGAGAATAGGCAAGCTTATCAGCAAGAGTTTGTGATGTTGTTACACATTTTGCTTTGTTTTCATATGAAACAAAAGATTCCACATTGCCGGAATGTGTACAGGTATAGATCACAGAAGACATTTAAGTGTGGTAAGAACATCAGAGACTTAGCAGCACCTCGTGTGCCATCTGTTTTCTTCTTCATTACTACATTTTTAAGTCAGCTGTGATCTATCACTGAACAGAAGCACTGCAACATGAAATCTTTTTGTTAAACATATCATTGGTTGCTCTGTACTCCATTATTACTTTAAGGCAAAGATCTTCCAATAAGAGTTACAGTGCACATAATCCACTCTGACTAGTTATAAATCAGTCTAAAACAGGCAGACCTTTCACGGTCAAAGCGATGGATGGAATTATGGAGACGTTTAGGAAAAAATGTAGATATAGACTTGTTACGACATAGACTATTTACCACCCAGTTGCGTGGTTAAGGACAAGCAATGAGCTGGAAACTGATTTGCTTGTAACTGGACAGGTACAGGAGTGACTCCCTCGTGTCTAGAATCTCAAATCATGATGATCTTTATGACTAAGTTTCTATTGATGGAGTATGCTCGCTTGACTAAATTGATAAAGATTACGTGCTCATTAAATGTCTAAAAAGAATTTCTGTAATGCATATATCCTCATCCATACTTTGGATGGCTGGGCCAGCAAATTGAAATGTAACTTTCTCAGCAACCAGCTTCTTCTTACTTTGTCTTCCACAACTAAATCGTTCTCCTTTGATCGACGCTTCAAGGATGCAGGGTGTATCGGGATTTACCAAGTGGTATTGCTCAAAGATAATGTGAAAACCATCTTTGCCGTTCGATCTCCATTGGCCCAGGAAACAACCCTCTGAGACAAATTTACCGTTGAGTTTTAGTTTTACTGTATATTTCTTTTCTTGTTTCCCAGTGATGAAAATTCCTCCCAGTAAAATTGGAATATCGACCGAGAAGGAGGTGGATTCAGTAAACTCGTCAGAAACAACGGGCGAACGACTCCAACAGTAGGAATCCTCGAGTCTATTGCAGCATCGCAGACTGAAAAGGTTTAGACACCTTGGAAAGCAAGAAAACTCTCTGGGAATCCGATTTACGCTAAAGTACATAAATATTTCAATGATCTCAGTGTCTGTGAGTATTTTGGTGTCAACAACATTTTCAGCAAATACACTCTGTGGCATAGAAGGGAAACGTATTAGCTTCAAAATTTCTTCCCCAATAATTGTCCTTTTTTCCTTTCCACTAGGAGTTTTTCCTTGTTTTGCACAAATAGTCTCTGCCCAGCGATTCACAGCTTGAAAAACATCCACCTCCTGGACAATAAGAGTATCTCTCTTCAATATTGGAACCAGAAGAGTGTTGCTTTCCAGAATTGCATCTGAGGCAGATTCAAGGACCTTCGATGTAAGTTTATCTATAACTTTCCAGCAAACACTATTCAAATGGGCCTCCTCCATTTTTTCTACAACCGGCAATACATCCAAGACATTTTTAGCGTTGATATTTTTCTCTAAGAAGCTTCTACAACGGTCTGCTAACGACGGAATCATGTACTTTTTGGCCAAGTAGAGCACTTGGATAACACAATCTCCTGTCAATTTGACCTCGTCGCAATAGAAGAAACGTAAGAACTCAAGAAATCCCTCTGAATCGCAGTCAGGGAGATCAATATAATCAGAAGGTTCTTTAAGGTCACCGTAGAACATCTTATAGAAAACAGGGCTGCTGACAGCCAGGATAAATTTGTGACAAGGGATGTTGACTTTACAAGAAGAACTTTGCCCATCTGCGACAGTGAAGTATACATCAGCCATAAGCGGGTTTCTGTACATGTGCTTGATTCGCTCGCAGACTGTGTTCTTAGTGAGCTGCCATTCATACACATCGTCAGTAGTGCTTACTGTAGCCATATTCAAATAGATGTGGAGGGCGAAAAGTGTCCGTAGTTTGAAGCGATATTGATTTTCTAGAGGATCGCATAAGCGGAAGTGAATAACATGAGCAAGCCTGGAACGAGTGGAAAAACTGTCAGCGGATTAGACCCAAAAAGGAAATGCAATTTATGTACAACTAGAGTTCACTACGCCCTCTTACTGGGTTTGTGTCGAAATCCTCCACAACTCAGACGATGGAGAAATCCATAGATTCGCATTTAGATGACATGTAAGCCAGTTGTTTTCTTTCTTTACCACATAATATCTTATTTCTATCACCAATATGTGTATTTATCCCGTTTGCTATTCTTCTAGAATGTCTGAACATGGCGTCATTGGAGTATTATGTAGCGATCAGCAAGGACTGGCTTTGTCAGGTTCGTGAAGTTTATGTCAAGTTTACAATTCTCTTATAAACTATATTACACCCAGTTCTCTTCTTGCCATTCTTAGCTTCAGCATTCAACACCAAGATAATGTGTTTTTGTATTATTTGAAGGTAATTAGTAATAAGTCACTGGTAAATCACATGACATTTATTTTAATAAGCTTTTTGTCATAATTTTTTCTGAACATATATAATGCACTGAGTTTAATAAACATAAATTCTCTACTCGCTTACAGTCGGAGTTGGTTGTTTCGGGGAGGTTGGGAAATTATGTTTTTTTCCTATCAAGTAAGCAAGACCCTTGTGCAGTACAAGAATACTCAGCATTAAATCAAATCAATAACTAAAAATTGTTTATAAGGAAAAACTTTACATCACCAAACTAGCAGGTACAGTGTCAGTTCATCAGTTTGTATAATGTTTTTATTCTCTATTGTAAATCTACATGATTGTTTATTCTTGTTGAGATTTTGTTAGTGTTTTAACCCTTTAACCTCCAGATCAAATTTTTAGTTCTCCTTACTGTCAACCATACAATTCTTATAATGTTAGTTCAAATAATTTAGTATTGGATCAACTAATTATCGCTAAATTGATATATTTCTTTATTCTCATCACTTATTTGGTTGATATTGTATTGATATTGTAAGGAGAAATTCTGTCTCGGTCACTCATGGGAGTTAAAGGGTTAAGCTGTCAAGAACTGTCTCAACTGACTTTTGTTGCACCCATTTCCTCGCAGCAGGGTGTTGATGAAAAGGGAACATTTCCTTGAATTTTAAGGCAGATAGTCTGCATCAGGAGGTCTGAAAGGATTAAGCATCTCTATGACATTTCTCAAACCATTTAATGCTCAGAAGTGTTTAACCTGCAACTTCTCCTTCCAATTCCAATAATTTATGTTATCTTACAAACTCATAGGGAGAATATAGAAGCTTCTCAACAGGAGTGTGTGATGTTGTTATAACACCAAATTCCCCTTTTGTTTTTACACTCAGTATGGAGAAATACTAATTGGATCTTGGAACTTAAAAGGATAAGGGGCTGAGGTGGTTGGGGGGGGGGGAAGGGTGGAAGACGTTGCCGTGACACCAAATAACTCACTGCAAAAAGGTAAACAAAAGTCAGGTTCTTAAAACTTTCTCGCTCGTTCGTTATCAAAATCCGAAAACATTCTCGAGACGTTTTGACAGGAGGTAAACTAATTTGCATAAGGCGAGGCTGCTAAGTTAACCTGTTACGCAATGAAAACATTCCGATCAAGGACATGGTGTTTTGTTATCAGTAGTTATCAATTCCCTTTCTTTCAAGGGGGATGGGAGGGTAATGTTTTAGCACCTGGGGACCCCTTCTAGCCTTGAGCTCCATCCCTAGACACTTCTTAGTATACATTTTGTGTCCAAAGGTTTACTTCAGTGTTGAAATATTCACCAGGATGAAGCAGTGGATCTAACCTGTGCACAAACTCACTATCCTCTCTACTGGAAGGTATCACCATATAATATTGTTATGTGGATAAAGGTGGGGGGGGGGGGAGGGTGAGTAGATAGCAAGAAAGCCCTTATCATTGACGCTACGACACAAGCTTTTCCTTCTCAGCGCGGAAATTCCGATTTTGAGTTACGACTTTAATTTTGGTGAGATGTATTTTACTGGGACATAGATACAACATTGTACATAAATTATATAGTCAACTGTTTAAACAGAATCAAGCCCTCGCTTGCAAAAAATATCCATACGTATATATATATATATATATATATTGAACTATGCGCCTATTTCTGCTTAAAAAAGGATGACCCACCCTCATGGGTCGCTGAAAATTAGTGAACCTTCCCCCTCCACCTTGCTAAGAGCCCAGAAACTGAAAACCTACCCCTTCTCTGCTCCGTACCTTCCCCCCCCCCTCCTCCTTTACTTTTTTACCAGTCTCTAAATATACTTAAATGTAAACGAAGTTCGGTCAACATTCACGACATCTTTGTTAAAATTTTCACCTGCCTCCGGTTTCTGTCAGCATCCACAAGGATAAACTTACATCTATCTAGACTCATTAACATTGTACCAGATTCTTGAAATGTTACAGGGATGGAGGGGGGAATTAGGGATCAGAAGCTTAAAAGAAGTGTGATCGTAAATCAATTGACGATTAATTGATCAGGAATCTTAAATGAAAGTTACACTGCACTTTTTCTCATTGTTTTATTAAAGATCTTCAAATCAGCCATTCCATTTCATATCCGTTGTTGTACGTTTCTTCAGCTTTCAGTTTTCTTGTACAAACCCGATTATTCATATGGCGCCGACCTACTTCTAAAGGGAAATTACAGAATGGTAGCACCTTTTGTGCGATTCTTGTCTCTTTTTTTTTCAGTTGGTGCTGACTAAGAGAATTTTTTTTAACAATCACAGCTTCTTATTTAGGTTAGCGATCATTTCCTTTATTCTCATGATCTTAATGACTGATTGAGCAGTATTACTGTGAGGAGAAATTACATGCTGGTCACCATTAATGTACAAACACTGTCTTTCCCATGAGCAGCACATCCAGTATTGTGTTAAAACAACAGAGTAGTCTTCACTTGTTCTCTTTACTATACGCGCCCTTACGTGCCCTTCATGAGAGATTAATAAGATGTCTTTTTCATTTTGTGTGTCACCTGTGTATGAAAGACTTCAGAGTCAAAGGGAGGCTTTATTGTAATAATTTCAATTTGAATTCTCGATATTTCGTTTTATCTTAATATTTTGGTCTGGTTTTATTCTAAGTCTTTCAAAACGTTCCAATCGTTCGAGTCACAAAATGCTTGTGGCAGATGTTTAATCCTTTTTTTTTCTTTTTACTTTCAGATTTCTCTCCTGGTTAAAGAATAGTGTTAAGTACACCGATATTATTAATTTTCTGTCTTTCACGTGCAAATTCATAATACATAATGCCTTTCTTTCACCCTTACTCTTAAACAGTTGGCTGAGCGTGCAAACAAAATTCCGCATCAAATCTGTGACGCGTCAACCACTGGGAGTTGAAAATCCATATTCATCAGACATTGTAGAATTTTCAGCAAACCCCGCTGTTTGCCGGCGAGTGAAGACGTGCCATCTCTCTTGATGAAGACATGAATTTTTACGCACTGAGACAAGGAGACACTTGACCTGAAAGGAAAAGGAATGTAGGAAGTCCTACATTATTATTACAGAAGCTAGGTGAGCATTCCTTTGCAACAAATATTGGCTTTAATTTGAACTACTTTTGAAAGCGGAGCGACCAGCTGCATCTTGGTTGAACGAGTCAACACGTGGTAGTTGTTTAAATCTGAGCTGCTCGACTCGAAGTTCGATGAATAAGGGTGTCGGCCTTCGTTGAAGCAGAACTTGTGCTTGTAAGAAAGTGCAATAGAAAATCTGTACATTAACTATCTTTTGGTCTTACACTAAAATTTAAAATACCTTATTGATGTGACATTGATTGGGGATGTTTTTCATTTGCATTTGAACGCGTGCGGCCACATAGATTTTCGAAGATTATAATAATAAGAGAATAAATCCTATCCTTTCACTGTAAAATATCCATTTAAATCCCCCAGATTTCATGTTTTCGTAAACAGGGTTATCTGGAGTTATTATAGAGTCCAGACCGCGAGCAAATTCTGATCGTGTTGCTAATTTATGTTTTCAGGGAGAGAAATGCTGCGAGTTGTGTGGAGAGATATAGAATCTTACAAGCAAGAGGAGTTTCATAACAAGAGGAGGATATGACAAAGATAAGAACTTTGACATTATTATGTAGCTTTAGCAAAAATGGTGGCTTTCTTAAACTCGTATTATTACGAGACTTCACTATTCACTCTTCTTGAGCGCTTTTCGATCGAGTGTCGTAAAATCAAAATCAAAGCAATCACAACAACAAATCATAGCGAGGAAAATATCATCAGGAGCCAATGAGAGTTCGAAGTCAAAACAAGGTAAACAAACTGCCTGAAGCGCAAGAAAACGAGAGTGATAAGTCGCGGCTGGTTTTAGTTTAAATCCGATTGGTCGAGACAGTGGCGCGAAAAACAAAGTAATTACTGAATACTTTCGACATTCGATTAAAAATTGCTCCATCAATTACTTCTTTTGAGTCATCTTGGATAAGGAAACTTTGCTATGGCATTAATTACTTGGTAAGTGAATAGCTTTTAACAAGCCACCATTTTTGTAATAGCACGTTGTGGTACAGGTTTTTATGCAGACTTAGAGCGATTGTATAGTGTTTTGGACTGCTATCTTTAGGAATTTACAATCTATATTAGAAATTATCGCCAGTGAGAGGTCATTGACAAAGAAAGCATTATGATGCTGATATGTGCATGGCCGTAAAAGCCTTAAACTAAAGTTCGCGGGGCAGACATCGCATAACATAACAGAATTTAAAGAAAACTTTGATTGTATCCATACTTGTTGAGAAAATGGATTAATTATGTCATTTAACACATTTCCTAACATGATTGCTTGAATGGTGTAGGGGTGCATATAATGGACTACCATGCTGGTGACCCGGGTTCGGTTCCCGAATATGATAACGTTTTTTTGTTTTTTGTTTTACATTTTTTCCATTTTGTTTTTTTGTTTTTGTTTCTTTTTTTCTTTTTATGGGGAAAGGTGTAATTAAGTTATTTCATTTAACATCTGAGCCACCCATAACCCAATGCAGTAAACAACTACAAAGAAATGGCGTACACGCAAATGACTTTAATAATTTTGTTTTTAAAAAATTACAAGAAGAAAAAAGACCATTTTAAAAATCCAGTAAGTTTGCCAATTCAAAGCGAAGCCTTCGGATGGCTTCTCGCTTGGTCTGAGCCAAGAAACGCGATATTCTACGATTTTCGTATCGGCGAATCGTGGCCAGATGTATTCCTCTAAAGGTTTGATAAACAAAAACATTGGATGGTACATATAAATTTAAAAATTCTTAAAAAAAAGAGTCTCTTTCCAGAGGCATGCTGTCGTCCCATGGATATCTCAAGAATTCCGAATGACGCCGCGCAGCCTCCCATCGCGATGGTGGTGATGATAATGTTGGAAATTCATCCAGTTGGTTGAGTAGGGAGACTGGCAAGTCCGCTCTGCAAAATGGGCAGGTGGGCCAAAGGTGTTTCTCCCGTTGACTTTGAAACCATTTGAATAGACAGTCTTGATGTATTCTGTGATTGCAACATAATGTTTTGTCCGCCATCTGACAGCTGTTTGCGCAGATGACGCATTCTTCGTCTTTGGTAACTTAAAGAAAAAGAAAAGAATGGTCAATTAGTGTCACTCGTGTGCGACTATGAAGAAAAGAAAAAAGGTTCGAAAGTGTCATATAAAAAACTTACCGCGTGGTGTTTCGACGTCGGTCATGTCTTTCACTTTCTACTAATGGGTTGACTACCTTAACAGCTGACAACACACTGAAAAAATTGCTACATACGTGAAAGACATGGCATCGCATTGACGCCTTTTAGACTTGCAGACTCGATCGTCCAATAAAATACCATTTTTCTAGAAGCCATAGCAGAGAGTAGAGATGACGACGCCTGACCAATTTCCCGACTAGCTCAGCATCGCTGGTTGCGATGCTTTTAAAACTATTGTTTTTTATTTCATCAAACACCTTTCCAGCAAGCTCTCTTAAGGTGAGTTTTACAAGAAGCAAGTATGCCCTCTGCTGTAAACGCTTCTCTCTTAATTTTGTTGTCTTTATTACTGCGCTATTGCCGATCTCTCCTAAAGCGAGATGGAAACTTCGTTTTTAGTTCTATTAGGGTTGTTGTCAGCACATTTGAGATTTCTTGAAATTCTTCTTGTGGTGCCCTGATTCGTTTTTTAGCTTCATGAAAATATATGAACTTGTCAATTGCAAAGTGTTTTGGTCTTCTCTGTAAAGGAATTCTCGCTCGCTGTCGATGAATAATAACAAAGCTGCTACGAAAATCCAGGTGTCATCTACAGTGGCCAAGCAGGACTCACACTTGACAAAGTCATCGTTTCTCTTGCAACCATCCACGCCTTCCGCCTAATTTTGTAGTATTTTGACCTACTCCTTACTTCTTGTTTCTCAGAATATCTTTTTGCTTATCTGACAGATCTTTTATTTCGTGTTTCACTGCCTCCATGGGCGTGTGAATGAGTTGTGATAACAAAGAAACACTTTGGTTTCTTATTAATTTCCTTTATTCCAAAAATCATTAACGTACATGGCTCAGCGTAAAATCTAGTACGACCACTGTGAAAACAAATTAGTTTAATCGGTTGACTAAAAAAGAATGTGTTTTTTAGACTTTTTTTTCATTATTTTCAATTTCTAAAATACTTTTATAAGAAGTGGTCGTTCAAGCGGTTAAGAAATAAACCCAACTACTAAAAGGAATTATTTTAGACTTAAGATAAGCTTACAGTTAATTCAAATGCTTCGCCGATCCAAAAACTTATTAAACTTGACTAAAAATGTTAATAAACTGGAATAAAATGATGAAGAAGGAAACCTCTTTAACAGTTGAAAAAGAAACAAATGGACATGAAAACTAACAACAGCGCCTGCATTACACCAGGTTTAATGCCAGCGGCTGCACTGATGTCTAACACGCCATAGCACTGATCATTTCCGATCGCCCCAGGGTCCCGATTGTTTGCGCAGAAAGGATTGTAGTCATCAAGCCACAAGTCCTGCACCTCTCGGTCAGTAAAGGAAAAGGTGCAGTCAGAATCGATCAGATTCTTTAGACACTTCTTCTGCTTGGCTTCCTCCCTGAAACAATGAAAGTTAACAAAATCATTCTACGTATGTCTGTTTCCCTCATTGTGCAGTTTTGGATCTGAGACTACATTGACTTCGATCTATTTCTGCTTACAAAGCCGAGCCAACTCTGATCGGCAAAACTCGCATCACCCTCATGACGTGGCTTAGTCAGTAACGTTTTCTTGCGCATGCGTTTTAGTAGCAACCAATCAGAATGCGTGTATGATTCAGCTTATTGTATAAAAACAAATAGTCTACACAAACTCACGTGCAAAGAGAGGAACTCGATTTGTCCGCGACGAATATTTGCCGGAAGGTCCTTGTACAGGCGTTTGCTTCAGTGACGAAAGAGCTGGAACAAGGCAATGATGACGCTGACGAGGGCGGTATCAGAGCGGGGCCTTCAGAACATTCTTTGCTGTCAAAATTCTGGTGTACAATTCTTCTGATAGTGCTAACCGACAGTGAGTCAGCACAATACTTCATCACCTTCAGCACACAGCCTTTCATTTGGTTGAACTTAGCACTGGAACGAAAACAAGATAAACCATTTTTTAGGTGTGAGTCTATTATAATCCATGAACAGAACAGGCGACTTGACAGATACCGCAGTATTGCGTTACAGTTGGATGACCCGTCGTACAAAACACCTCAAAGTTTAATGAACTTACAAACAGTCTCCTTTGGGGTCCTTTTGTAGTCCTTTATAGAAAAATGTGGCGCATTTTCGAGCAGCGCAATAGTACTCCATGAAAGTACATTGGCCAACGCTAGGGAGTGCCTCATGGCTTCCAAGGAGAAACGCTGTAAGAGCAATGATTGACAGAAATCAATAAATCAGTGAGCCGTTTGTTATGAGAGTGATTTTTATGAATGTAAAGTAAGTAATTAGGAAGGAATGTAACGCTCTAGATTGTTATCACGCAAATATTGTAAAAGCCGGGAGCATTAAGGGGGTAGGGGTGGGGGAACTCATTATCGAGGGAGTAGAAATCTTTGAAGCAATCCCCTGACAAAAATAGTTTATGGATCTGTTCCCCCCTTCCATTTGCGCCTAAACACACAAGTTTCAATTTCGGACCGGAAACTAACGCTCGTGCGGCATAAAATCTCTCAGACCAAATATACTGTCTCGCGTTCTTTTCACCAGCAGTTCCTTTGTCATAATGTAAGACTTCATATGTTTCACAAAACAACTATCTTCATAAACATGCATTGTCAAAAATCGGTCACGAACATAATGAAAAATTTTGAGATTGCATTGAAGTTTAATCCGCGTGCCGAGAAATATACAGAATCCACATTACGATGTTTGAGAAGAAGCACGTGTTTGACTTGTATTGCACTGCCCAGCTTTCCAACTCCCCCCTTCCTTCCTTCCTTCTTCTTTGTCCAAAACGCTTCGACGCCTCTGGGAAGTAATTTAATCGTCAATATGACGAGGAAGGTGGCAGATGTTATTACCCAAGCAAGTAGTTCAAATAGTGAATATTTGCCAGTGAGCCGTAACGACGTGGACTAAATCACGCGGGTCGTTTTATGTTAACATTAGGGTCAAATTAGCAAGGTATGTTTGTAACAGTGAGTCGAAGTGAAAGATACGTAATGAAGCTGAAAACACAATTTGTTCGTGTATTAAAGCTTATTTCCTAAGACCTCCACTTGGAAGGTTTTAGCTGGTAAGATTACTCTTTATCCGTCATTGAACAATCATGCGCACATGGTACCGCAAGATATTTGCGTCGACAAGATATTGTGCAATACAGGATATTGTGCTGATAAAAGACAGATAAAGATGTTTACTTTTGCCAAAAAAAATTTGCAGCAATCATTTCGGGAAGTTTGAACAGAAGAGCGTGTTTGGCTTGATGTAAGGTAAAAATCCTACTTTTTTCCTCCTTTCCTACGTCGCGCTCCAAAACACTTTCGCTGCTTCTGAGACGCAAGACCACTTAATAATATATTTTATTGACCAAGCATATGGTTAAGGTACAGGACATTGGCCAACGTGCTCTACTTCATGCGGATTGATCATTTTCGTGTCCGTGATTCATAGTGATATCAGCCCAGGAATATCAGAAACGAAATTTATGGTCTCTCAGTCACTTCTTTTGTTCAGTAAAAATTATCATTGAAGAATTCATCTAGATTTTTATTTCCTTCCCGCCTCGATTGCTTCGCTCTTTTGCGGGAGGGGTATGCTTTTTACTTGCAAAAGTGATCTATTACTGAACAGACGCACGGCAACATGGAATGTATTTGTTAAATAGAAAGTAATATTACAATGCAGTCAACACCTTGTTTTCCTCGCTCGATTCTAACTATTATCGAAGTATCTGGAACAAATGCTACTCTCGCCTTGTGTCGCTGATCGGCAAGTACGCTAAGACGCAGGTCCTACCCTAACTTGAGAGAGTTCAAATAGTTTGGGGAGAGACTCTAGCACCAAGTTGCTAGAAATTTTACCGACAGGGACAAGAAATGCGTTGAACGTGCAGTGATAAATAAAGGTGATTGAAAAGCAGACTCAATTTAGTCAGGTTGTCATCGTGTTGGTCCGTAACTTACCATCCATAGACGTCGCGACGAAACAATGCGAAAACATACAAAACTAGCAGAAGGAAGAAGAAAAAGAACAAAACGAAGCCATGCGATACGAGACTATACGAAATCAACTCCACGTGGGAATAGAATGATAAATTTTTGCAACCGCGTGCATTTCGTGTTCTGTAATAGCTTGCAAACACCCTCGTTTTTCGTGTTCTATAATCCCTTTGGTTAGTACCTAAAGGTAGAGAAGTGAATGATGAACTTACCCACGGCGACGACGAAAATTAAACTGAAACGCACAGAGTTCTGCATCTTTGCTGCTCCTTTGCAAATGAGCTGTCGAGAGAAAGCTAGGTCTTATTGTAATTATGAAAACCGTTAGCTTTACCGATTTTTCCGCTTTTCCTCCTGTGATTTTCAGAAGAGAAACTGTAGAACTCCAATCTTGTGTTAAATAAAAACAAAGTTTCATTCAAAAAAAGTCTGTTTTCATTCAAGAAAATTTTTTAGCGGGGGAGAAAAATTCTTATCTGCGAAAAAATCTAAAACCTGTCATTGAAACCCCCGCGCAAAAAAAACATTCCATCTCCACGTGCTTGCGAACCCACCACGCGCACGCGCAGTCCAACTCCAAGTCTTCAGAAAAAAAAGATCTCTGCGGTAATGCTGGTACAGGGCCATTAACATAATAAATGAAATTAATGAAAACAATAAGCAAGTTAAAATGAAATATTTCTTCATGGCGAGTGTTAAGAGTAAACGTGGAATGATCGGCGCGCGCTTGCAAACCGGTTTTGCCCCAATCTCACATCAATTTACATGATGTGTGCGACGTGTGAACAAAGAAACTAACCTCAGCGTCATCAGAGAGGTGTGACAAGAAAATCGCGATTACAGACGAACCGGCGCTCAACCCTTGTAACTCTCGGCAATGAGGAAATTTCTGAATATACACAACGGCCTCTGTGACTGTATGTACTTTTGTCGTCCTCTTTCGTCCTTTAGAAACGGAATAATCTCTTTAAGATTCTTATATGCTGTCTGTTCTGCTTCTGTCCTCAGACTATCCTTGTCTGAATTTTCTTCCTTTCTCGTTCTTCTTGGTTGGTTCTGTTTTCTTGGGGCTGTCCTGGTGTACCGGTACACGAGGGAATTCCTATTGTTTTCATAACCATACATGGACTTATGACGCAGTTCGTTAATGTTTCCTTCTTTTGTGTACCGGTACACGAGGACACAACCGTTTTCTTGCAAACTTTGCGGTTAGCTCTTGAATGAGCTGAGCTGATCCTTCGACGCTCCGTGCGGCCTGGCTCCGTGCTTTTTTCTTAGCTTTCCCGTACACAATCACAAGCTTTCGTCCTTTTTCAAAAACTTAAAATTTGACTTCTAATTTCCCAGGTATATGTCCGGTGACACTCTCGCATTGTCGAGTGTCCAACGATGTATAGACGACTTTCATAATGGCGGGCGTAGCGCGAGGCCTGGTGAGAACGGCATGAAAACGAGGTCACAAAGGCCTCAAACTTTCATAGTATAATTATGGCGTCCTCCTTGAGTAGTTTACGCGAGTGCGATTTTTCTTACGGAAGATGATATTCCAGGCGCTTCTCTGCTTGGACGAAAGCCTGAAGAGCTGAAAAACACAGAACTATGTTTGTGGCTTAAGTGCCGGGGTGATTTGGGAAAAGGTCTGAAGACAAAAGCGGAGCTCGTGAAACGAGTGTCCGAGTACATCAGAACTGGCAAAGATACCTTATTGGTACTTAATTTCGCGGGTCTTTAATTTCGCGTTTTTCGCGATTGTAAAAAAATCGCGAAATTAAAGACCCGCGAAAAAAAATCCTCGCGAAATTTAAACACGCGAAATTTAATACCCATACAAAAAAATCAAACTGTAGAAAAAAATGATTTATTCGTAATGGCAACAAAATTTACAGGATATTTATCAACAAAACGCAAAATATTAACTGGTTTCTACTCGTAAATTCCATTATGAACGTTGCCGCGAACCACTGAAACAATGCGTTTTCACGTTGTAATACATTTATTTTTAACGTTAATTTTCAAATATGTGTTTTGTTGTGTTCCAGTTATCTAGAAACTTTAAACAGTTCAGACCTTTGGAAAAATAAAATAAAGTTGAGAACGCTTCAATCGCGAAATTTAATGCCCTTTTTTCATATTTGCCTATTGAAATCGCGTAAATAAAACCCCGCGAAATATTGCCTCGCCAAAATCGCGAAATTAAGTACCCGCGAAATTAAGTACCAATAAGGTAAAAATATTGTTGACCCAGATCCAGACAAGATTTACAGTCGCAGAAAAGAGCGATTGAGCACCTTCACTGATGTTAGCGGAGAAGAGGGTATTTTGGTGCAGTTTCCCGACGACGGTTGGGGCACTTCGCTCGAGAAAATGTCAATGTTTACCAGAGTCGAAATGAATCGCCATATCTTAAATTCGGGAAAATCCATGGCGGACAAAGACCACCACATGGTCCCAACAAGCTTGTTAAAAGCCAAACGATTCTTGGATGACGAATATCTCGAGGAAGTTCAGTGTACGAGTGACCAAAGGTATTTTTATTTCAAAAGCAAGTGCTGCCATAGCTTTCGGAAGAATGACCCACCACATACTCTAAAGATTGCCCTATGCATCTTACCTGGCGGAGTAAGGAGTGCTTGCTGTTCATGCATAGCCGGCAAGGTGGGATTCTGCAATCATGTGTTGGCCCTCATGTTCAAGTTATGTAAGTTTTCCTTATTTAACTGTGCCTCAACAAAAGATCTGTTGGAAGAGGAAGATTCACATGCACCCATAGCCTGCACATCTCAATTGCAGCAATGGCATAAGAAAGGTGGGGGTTCAAATATTGCCCCACAGCCAATCATGGAAGTTGAAGTGACCAAAACCATCCAGAAATTCAGTTGATAATATTGTACTCTCCGTTTAAAGTTTAAGTTTTCGAGACTCTTCCTGCTCTCTTGGAATTTCCAGTGACCTTCCATGGGATAGGTATGGATAATATTCTGAAACATGATCTTTATCTACCAACCAACAGAGTATAAGGAATTCAGAGGTCATTAAAAGTAGTGTAGCAATGTTTTGTTTCCCTTTGTCTTTTATTTAACTATAGAGGAAGTGTTTTCTGTTTAAAAACATGACTACAGAGGCATACCAAGCAATAGGTATTTTTCCTTGAAAATAACAAATGCAATGTAAATTTTCTCCAAAAAAGTGATTGATTTGGAGTTTATTTTGTAGTAATTTCTATCACCTTTATATACACAAAATAATTACCAATTTTAGTGTACCATTTCATCACACTGATATTATGTTGGGTTGTGCATTGCACAAGAAGGCACACTGCCCACATTTGGTTTACAACACCTATTTGGTGAAGGGGTACTACTCTGTCCCAGATGTGAAAGTTTTTTTATCTTGTTGATTGCCCGTTCAATATGAATTCTGAGACTAGCAATTTCTTGGTTCTGTACCACATCTTCTGCTGGAATTTGATTTGATCCTCCCAAGAAAGGTGGAAGGTTGAGTGAAACTCCCAAAGGCAACAAATCTGAAATAGCAAAACCTTTATCTGCCATTATGGAGTCTTTGTCCTTGAAGGGTAGATCTAAAAGGCCACTTCTTCTAACAATCTCTCTGTCAGAGATGCTTCCAGTATATAATTGGCTGATGAATGTAATTGCTCCTCCAGGAGAAATCCCCAACAAACCCTTAAGTGTGGCGTGATGTTTGTAGCTGCTGAAGAGCTCTCCATTCAATTGTAAGCTACTTGGCATCTGGCATCTTACTTCCGTACAATCAATTATCACACGCGTACTCCCATATTTATTCTTGAATGCTTCAGGCATTGTTCTGTCTATCACTTCCCTTGAAGGCCAAATGTTAATGTGACCAAACTTAAAGTACATGAAATTGATCCATGTTATGACTATCCGACTTACAGTCGGTGTTGACACATTGAACAAGTGAGCAAGATGATCTTCATGAAACCCTTGTCTTAGTCTGCACATTACAAGAAAAAATTCGTCCATTGGCCTAAAAGACCTAGCTCTTCCTTTTTTCGTGAAAGAGTCCTTTGACTGATCCTGGTCATAATCAACAGGGACCTCACCATTTCCAGAACGCAGGTAAGCAATGTTTCCTCCTCGTTCTCCGGGATCAAGATAATTGTACACCGCCTCAAAAGCATCCCAGTTATTAAAACCAGTGTAAAAACCTGCTGTATTTTTCTTAGCTTTCAAGTTCTCGAGCACAAATTGTTTCTTTGTAAGGTTTGTGATTTGCCGCTGAGCATTTTCTAATCGCAATTTAATGTCATTGATTTCCTGTTCTAGTTCTTCAATTCTTTTGTTTTTGTTTGTGATGGTTTCCGTCAAATCATAACATTCCTTTTCTGGCAAGATTATATTCTGATTCTCAACAACACTGGTAGTCAAACCGATACTTACTTCCACTTTTTCTTCCAAATCAAATTCCACCACACTCTCGGCAGATGCATTCGATCTAGAAACAGCGGCAATCGACGCCACTGGTTCGTAAACGTTCCTTTCTGTCGGTGGTTTCCTCTTGCCAGGCGACGTGCGAAGATCTTCATTTCTAAAATGTCTGGAACAGACCTTTGTTGAGTCGGATATTTTAAAGTCTTTTCCTTCGTCTCGCCTGATGGCCTGTATCCATTTCTTCTTTACTATTTTTTCTCTAGGAAATTGAAAGTACGACACTTTCGACCCATGCTCTTCGCGATAGCCTTTTTTGTTGCATCCTGGAACGCAGCAGTGTGTAGGCATTCCTTCCTGTTCCTAAATGTATATTCTAAGCGGTGATTGACCCCAATTGAGTATTATTGTCTTCACACAAAAGCAAAAACCTTAACCTAAAACCACTACAGGCGCGCTATGTTTACGTCTGAGAGGCCTTTGTGGCCTCGTTTCCATGCAAAATCGTTACCAGTTCCACGCGCCTTCGGCCATTATGAAAGTCGTCAATATCGCCATAGTCTGCCTTTGAGGCGGAGACACCTAATCGCAAAAAAAAAATCCTTTTATTACCCGCGCGCAAAAAACATCCCTATCTCCTCGCGCTTGCGAACCCACCACGCGCGCGCGCGCACATTAAACTCGGTAAATTTTTTAGCGGGGGAGAAAAATTCTTATCTGCGAAAAAATCTAAAACCTGTCATTGAAACCCGCGCGCGCAAAAACACATTCCATCTCCACGTGCTTGCGAACCCACACGCGCGCGCGCGCGCTCATTAAACTCGGTACCAGGGGTTCTAGGTATCGCGTGACGTCATCGTGACAAACCGGCTTTCTGATTGGTCCATTTGTACCACATGACCTGTATACTCGATTCTGATTGGCTTGGCGCTATACTGTCTCTATATTACTACTTATGGCAAGCTATTGACTAAAATACTGATTGAACATTAACACAGTTGAGAAGAAAAAATCAAATCC